ACGGCTGAACTACCAGAAAGCCAGATGGTTTCCATTGGTGCAGCTACTAAATATGTCATTAAAGCGTTGAGCGTACTATAATGCCTCACGATAAAACGACAGCTTGGAGGATAGAACTTAAAAACAGACCAGTAACATTGTTAGCAACAATATGTCCTTAAATCTCCATCAAATTCACAGCAACGTTAACGTGCTCGCTGAGCTTTAGCTCCTGATTCAGTGACCTCCAAAGGTGAGTTTTATCCGTCTTTGAGTCAAACATCTTCTTGCACCTTTTTCGATTTGATCTGGAACTTTTCGTTTTGGTTTTTAAACACACTAGGATCTCCACACTCACTCTCCTGCGTTGCTTCGTCTTATTTACCAATTGTATGCATGCAGAGAGACATAATCCTGCTGACATGAAATTGTTTTGCAAAATAATGACAGAAAGTCTATATTTACTAAAAAATAAGTACTATGCTTGCAACATGCGGTAAATTGTCACAAAAATGTTGTATACAACCAGAGGAAGGTACTTTCATGTAAATAAAAAAGTCAAATAATGTGACTATGTACCTTAAATGTTTGGTGATCAAGCAAAATGCCTCCTTAAATGCCTCATTGCGTCACTGTGTAGCCATTTGTCAAACAGAGCCTTTCCTTTGGTTTTCTCACATCAGCATTGATTGACACGTTTGATCGAAATGCTATAGTTAGAGTGGCTCAGGTTATCCTGAGCTATCTCTATAGTTCTGCTGCTATAGGCTTAGACTGCTGGAGGACATAGGGACCCCTTTTTCATCATTCTGCTTCATTCTATCTCTATTCTCCCACTCTGCAGAATCTGTTAGTTCAATCTCTAACGTTCTGCTCTCTCTGCTTTTTCTCATAGTATCTTCATCTGGTCTGTTCCTGTTTGGCTGTGACTCCATCCTGGAGAGAAATATCAGCTGTGCTGCTGCCATCAACACCTTTGTTTATAGATGTTGGAGCTTGGCCTGTTTTTTAAGTGTAGTCCTGTTTCTCTGACTGTGACTAACTGGATGTGCTCTCTTCATCCTCTGACATGGGAGCTGGTTCAGAGCTTGTCTGCCTGGCTGTGTGTTTCCTGGACGGGGCCGCCTTTTACAGCTGCTTTTTGTATCTCTGCTTCTGTCTCCTTGAACCCATCGGCCTCAGCAGATGGCCGCTCACACTGAGCCTGGTTCTGCTGGAGGTTTCTTCCTGTTAAAAGGGAGTTTTTCCTCTCCACTGTCGCTACAAGCATGCTTGGTGTGAGGGATTGCTGTAGAGTCGATGCAATCAACTGGTTTTCCTTAGATAGAAAACTTTGAATCAACTCCTGTGATCTGGTGAACTGTAAAGTGCCTTGAGATGACGTGTGTTGTGAAATGGTGCTTTAGAAATAAACAGAAGTTAATTGAATATAATCCCAACAGCATCCAACTATTTATATTGATAACTGTATGATTGTTGCACTGAAGGGACGGATCGTTCTGACACACATCGGAACCACTCCACAAAGAAGCAACTTTAAATGGGATTCTTTAGGCTTCTTGTTGATGAATCCCAGTAAAATCCCAGTTAGCTGTCATTCCTGCTGCTGATCGCTTCCATCCGTCCGAGCCCAGCGGGTCACGCAGAGTTAATCTGTCCTCTCTGCAGCTCTCTGACCTGCTTTCTGTCGCCAAAGGCCACTTCTGCTCCACCGAGATATGATTTCATGATAAAACCTCTCTGAAAGGAAGACTTTTCCCAGCTGTGTGGAGAAGCCTGGGATTGATACGCTGGAACAGGTGAACCTCTGTGTGGATCTGTCACGCCTTCATCTAAACACACAGAGCAGATTTTAAAGCTCATCTGTTCAGCTGCACAAAAATCAATTACTGGAAAGCTGTTGGGAAGCTTCACAGCTCAGTGACCTTTGCTGCTTGATGACTTTTATTATTTGTGACATTTAACAAAAATGCGTTGCTTTGATTGGTGCATGAATGAGGGAACGTCAGAAAAGGTTTCTATGGATTTAAAAGCTTTCATTGGAGTGGATCAATTGGTCTGAGCGTTGATAACAGTTGAGGTTATGTATGAACTGACTGGTGTCAGAAGGAAATTGCTTCCTCATGTTTTGGGTTTGAGGATCCAGAAAGATTTAGAGGAGGTGAAATCGGATCACTTCAATGTCTGAAAGCAGTTGCTCTGTATCAGCAGCTTCTTGCTTTCTAAATCATCTCTGCGCTCAGCTGAGACTCTTTAAACTAGATGTGGTTTATAAACACAATCTGTCAAGAGCAAAAAAAATGCTGTCGTCTAACCTTCAGGTTTTTATTTCATCCACCTCACAAGAAATGATGCAAAACCTTTAATTTCTACAACAGGAATATCTATGTTATATCCAGGTTAAATGTGTCATTATTTCATATCACTGTTTATTGATGTGAATGAAAATATCAGACCTTCGTTAAACATTTTTGTCTCGTTCTTCTGTTTTAATCTGAAAATCTCACAGGAAGAGACCATTATTGATACAATTACTTTAGTCTTTGGCGCTCAGACCTCGGCAGGAAACATAGCGCTGAATTTTAATAGATATGCATGAACAGGAGTAAAAAACAGGGCTGTTTTCCCCCCAGGCCTGAAACTGGTGGGTCAGTCTGTAGACTGCTGGTTGGAGAGACGGTCTGCTGAGCTTAATGGGGAGATCCAGTGGACTGCGTGAAGTGATACTAGAGCTTCACTCAGGGACCTGGAAGATGGAAGTCCAGTTGGATAACACAGGTTGAGAGAACCTGTCCAAGATAAGCAAGCATGAAGTGACAGTGGAGAGGAAAAACTCCCCGTTGGGAAGAAACCTCTGGCAGAGGCTCAACATGGCGGTGTTCTGCCGGACAGATTGAAATAAGACACAGAATGCAGTAAGAGTGGACGGACAGATGCTCTTAAGTTTTAGCTATGATGGTGGAGGAGGGGCTGGAGGTGGGTTGAAACGGGGTCATCTAAAGCAAGTCACACGTCGCAACCACCGCTGGCGCACTAGGTAGTGGATGAGTTGCGGATCGAAGGCCTTTTAAGATGAACTTTAGATGCTGATTGGCTTTCGTGGAGGTGTGGTTGAAAGCTGATTGGCTGTGTCATAGGTTGATGAAGGCGAGTAATTAGTTTATTCAGTTGAACTTCCGCCTAGGCTCCATTTCTATTTATTTAATTATCTTTAAACTCAACTGAAAATTAAAATCAAAATTTTCAGAATAAACAATGACATTAACCTACCGGAAGAGTTATACATTAGTGGGAACCCAGAGACCTTGCTGATTGGACAACGGCACCGTTTGGCTTTTAAACTGGAAGCCATGTTTGTTCAAACATTCATTGAGCGAACATAAGCAGAATGACTTTGTTGTGTTTTTTTTTTTTTATTTCTAGTTATGTTTAAAGATTTGTTGATGTGGTTTGCACTTCATGGCCACCATATTCACCATATTCTGTCAGGACTCCAGTCTGTGTTTGTCTTTTTGTGTTGTTCTCCCTTCTACCAGCAGGAGGCGCCTGGTTCTGGTCCGCCTCCTCACACACCTGATGACGGTTGCCTCGTTAGCAGAGTGTTCTTAAGCTGCTGACTGCCACTACCTCGACGCCAGAGTGTTTGCCAGTTTTGGGTACTCTAGCCAAGCTGAGTTTTAACTTCGTTTTTGTCTTTGCCTCTCGGCAGGAAGTCATCCTGCAAACTGGATCTTTTCGGACCTTCTCTCCCTGGAGGAATCAACTGAGCCTCAAACCGAGCTGGGGATTCAAACAGGAGGTTTGGATCCAGTTTCCTTGAGAGGACGTTGAGTTTACTCTCTGAGCAAGGCAATCATCTCCATTACGACCCATTCAAGTACCGCAGGAAATCTGAGTGGCAATCAGTTTCTCCGTTCACCAACAAACATCGGAGTTTTGGGTAACCCTGTTCCACCCTCCACCGAATCAGAATAACACTGGAAAACAGCACACAGATTGGAGTCAAAGATTCTACAACTTCTCTGGAAACGTGAGTCTTCCACCAGAGCCTCTTGAATGAAATTTCCCACTGAGCCTGAACTAATCGTTTGTCTTCCCTTCACCTTCCAGTTCCGGTCGAGTTGAGTTCTGAGCAACTCCACACCGAGCCTTAACTCTTCAATAAACCTGTTAAACTTTTCATCTGTGTCTCCCTGAATTGGTTTCACTGCATGTGGGTCCGAGATTTAGACATATTCACCTTTATTTTAACTGTAAAACAAAAAAAAAAATATCTTTTTTGGTGATATTTCTAAATCCTATCTTTTATTTTGTAGGAGCAGACATGGAAACTATAATGTTGATGTTGTAGACAGGGGCCAAAAGAGGCCATTTCCCATGTTCAATTAGCCGTGGCCCCTTCTAATGGCCCCTGTAGTGAAGACATAGCACTGATTCATTTCTTATGAGGATATTCACTCATGTGCACTATTTCACTAATTTATAAGGTCAGTATATCTCTGCAGTACTAATAATAATCCAAGTCAGCCACTGTTTGTCTTCCCTTAGCTCTCTACTGTGCAGATATTTTTATATCTAAAGGAAACATATTGCAGGACATTACAACTTTTTTCATTTTTCTATTTTTTTTGGTACTACATTTTTTATTGTCTGTTATATTTTTATCTTTGATGGCATTTTGCTTTAGCTCTTTGTTTTCTATATAAGCTACTGGAACCAGTATTTCCCTGAAGGAGTAATCCTAAGGGAGAAATAAAGTTGAGTCTAAGTCTATTCATCATTACAGAAACCGTAACTGCTTGGTCCCTCAGACACTCCACAACTTCTTCAGCATTCCCATTCCCAGTTCTACTCAAAGCAAATTATCCCCACAGCATGATGCTACCACCACCATGCTTGACAAATGGTACCATGTTCTCAGTTTTTAAAGCCTAACCTTGACTCCAAACAACCTTAAAGAAAGAAGCGTTTCTTTAACGAGCATCAACCATCTTCCGGTGAGAAGGGTTGCTGATACTCACCGTCGGCGGGTTGTCGACGGTGGTCTGGATGGCTGCAGCCAAGCCCCCCTTCATCATGCAGGTCAGGCTGTAGAACTCGTGCTTCTGGTCGATCTCAAAGAGACCCAGAAGTTTCCACTGCTGCCTCAGACCTCCCCACCTCCTCCTCTTCGTCGTGTTGGAGCGCTGCTGCTGCTGCCGCTGGCGGCCGGGCATCGCCGAAGCTCCAGGAGGGGCTGACATCTCCATCTGGGGAAGGGAGAGCAGAAAAGCAGAGAGCATGGAGGGATGTGACACATGGGGCTGCGGCTGGGTCACCTGACGCCCCGCGCTGAATGGAGGCCAGGTTTCTGAAGCTCCGACCGAAGAAATCAAAGAGTGAGAGAGGAGGAAAACAAAAGCCAGCAGTGGAGTCTTTAACTGGGTTGCCATGGAGACCAACACAATGGGATAAAAGCTCTGTGGGCCACACCAGGCCTAATGAACCACGCTCCTCATTAAAACATTTCACAAGTGCAACCATGTCTCAAGTCTTGCAGTAATTTAAGGTGAGGTGTTTGTCTCGGAGAGGCGGAAGCTGAAATGTTCTGGTTCTGCAGAACATTTGAATAATGAGCTCCTTCCATCATGATTTGTGACCAGAGGCCTTTTCCTATTTGCCTAACAAAACGCCAGCGGCGTGCAGGCCGGAGGTCACAGGTGTGCTCACCTCAGAGTTTGTTTGGTTGCCAGCGTCGCCTCCTGCCTCTCAGCTCTGCACCTTTAATTTACATCTTCTCTAGATTCATCATTTATGCTCCTGATATTAAAGACAATAAACTGACTTGTTGCTTAAATCATTAAATCGTCACAAATTCAAAATAAATATTAGAAGCTTTTACAGATTTAAATAAAAAAGAGAGACAAAGATTTTTACTTTTAAATGTCTATATTTAAATAACCATCCATCATCCAACCATCCATCCATCCATCTTCATCATCCAACCATCATCCATCCATCCATCCATCTTCATCATCCATCCATCCATCCATCCATCATCCATTGATCCAACCATCCATCATCCATTGATCCACCCATCCAAAAATTCATCATCCATCCATCCATCCATCCATCGTCATCCATCCATCCATCATCCATCCATCCATCCATCATCCATCATCCATCCATCCATCCATCGTCATCCATCCATCCATCCATCTTCATCCATCCATCCATCCATCATCCATCCATCCATCCATCATCCATCCATCCATCTTCATCCATCCATCCATCATCCATCCATCCATCTTCATCCATCCATCATCCATCCATCCATCCATCCATCCATCATCCGTCCATCATCCATCCATCATTCATCCATCCATCTTCATCCATCCATCATCCATCCATCCATCCATCCATCCATCCATCTTCATCCATCCATCCATCCATCCATCCATCATCCATCCATCCATCTTCATCCATCCATCATCCATCCATCCATCCATCCATCCATCATCCATCCATCATTCATCCATCTTCATCATTCATCCATCCATCCATCCATCATCCATCCATCCATCCATCCATCCATCGTCATCCATCCATCCATCTTCATCCATCCATCATCCATCCATCCATCCATCATCCATCCATCATCCATCCATCATCCATCTATCTTCATCCATCATCCATCCATCCATCCATCATCCATCCATCCATCCATCCATCTTCATCCATCCATCCATCCATCCATCGTCATCCATCCATCCATCCATCTTCATCCATCATCCATCCATCCATCTTCATCCATCCATCCATCCATCCATCGTCATCCATCCATCCATCCATCTTCATCCATCATCCATCCATCCATCCATCATCCATCCATCCATCCATCCATCCATTGTCATCCATCTTCATCCATCCATCCATCTTCATCCATCCATCCATCTATCCATCCATCCATCCATCCATCCATCCATCTTCATCCATCCATCATCCATCCATCCATCTTCATCCATCCATCCATCCATCCATCCATCCATCGCCATCCATCCATCCATCCATCTTCATCCATCCATCATCCATCCATCTATCCATCCATCCATCTTCATCCATCCATCCATCCATCCATCCATCCATCATCCATCCATCCATTCATCCATCATCCATCCATCCATTCATCATCATCCATCCATCCATCATCCATCCATCCATCCATCCATCCATCCATCCATCATCCATCCATCCATCCATCATCCATCCATCCATCCATCATCCATCCATCCATCCATCCATCATCATCCATCCATCCATCCATCCATCCATCATCCATCCATCCATCATCCATCCATCCATCCATCCATCATCCATCCATCCATCATCCATCATCCATCCATCATCCATCATCCATCCATCCATCCATCCATCATCCATCCATCCATCCATCATCCATCCATCCATCCATCATCCATCCATCCATCCATCCATCCATCATCCATCCATCCATCATCCATCCATCCATCCATCCATCCATCATCCATCCATCCATCCATCCCGTCCATCCATCCATCATCCATCCATCCATCCATCCATCCATCATCCATCCATCCATCCATCCATCCATCCATCCATCCATCCATCCATCCATCCATCCATCCATCCATCCATCATCCATCCATCCATCCATCCATCCATCCATCCATCCATCCCTTCACGCTGCCACCCATCAGGAACAGGAAACACCTCACGCTGAACAGCAGTGTTTAGCATGAGGAAGCAATCCACCCCACCCAGAGGGTACTGTTTCACCTTTTTCTGATTGAAACCTTTGACCTTTGGCTTTATGCCGCCACTGAAAAGACTCGCTGAGATTTAAATCTCTTTGTTAAGAGAAAAACAAAACAAAAGGACTCAGAAATACTCGCTAGAGCCTGGTATTAAACAGGGACACAAGCAGCGAAACCAGGAGGAAAAACGGAACCAGAAAATCTGAAGTCTCATTTTTATTGGAGGTCTTTCTGTTCCCTCATCACAACACCCCCACTACTTTACACCTGCATAAGACAGTTTATTAAACCGTATATTCTTTTCTTTAAGAACGGTAAAATCAGACACTGATAGGTGTTCTTCAATATGCTGAGATAGAAACATCCATCCATCCATCCATCCATCCATCCATCCATCCATCCATCCATCCATCCATCCATCCATCCATCCATCCATCCATCCATCCATCCGAGCAGGATGAATAATTCTTCGTACCTCAGACGTGGTTCTGCTGCTGGTCCGGCTCTGCTCCGTCCGTCTCTGTGGGTCATGTGTCCGGAGGACTGAGGGAAGCTGGGAGCAGATCCTGCATCAGCCTCTGGTCACACCCAAACACTGACACCGACTGACTCTGCAGCTGCAGCACAAACAGGAAGGACAGAGAGGCTGAGAGGTGCTGGCTCCACAGTGAGCGCTGCTCTGTATCAGCAGGGGTGAACTCAGCACATTCAGCAGCATTTCCTACAAATTAAAAGCACACATTAACAAAAATAACAGTCCTTATCTGAGGAAGTGTATAAATCCTTGATTGCTGAATAAACACAATCGACCTGCTCAGGTTTGACTGACTGATCCAGAAATGGCAGAACAGACATTTTAACCTTAGAAAGGAGTTTCTGTTTGTTCTGAACTTTTAAACTTTGCTTCTTATTCTTCATGTATGAAAAACATTAATGTTTAGAAACTTTTACCAGGAAGAATTATGCCGGAATAAATAATAAATGGGGAAAAAAGTTTATTTTATTATTTTTATTGGATCATTGGGACCATAGGTAAAACAAAACACGACCTAATTGGTTTAAAATATCATCAGTTAGGTTGTTTGGCTTCAGAAGGGAGATAAATATCTAACTATGATCTTAATTACAACATTTATAGAGAAGATTTACTCAGAAACATTCTATGGAATGTTATTAATGCCTAAAAAGAAGCAGTTTACTATTTTTCTATATATCATATTGTTTCTAGAACTGTTTTTATACATTCTTGGTATTCTTTTTGAAAATTTGAAAATTTGAAAAAACATGGACCACATATTTTACAGAATAATATTAGAGCTAAATAAATAATTTAATTTATTTTAATATCATATAAAATGGAATAGTTCCTTTTCTGCATTTGCTTTTTTTTGTGAAGTTTTTTTCTTCTTATTAAGTTAATTTAATTTATGTACTTCTATTCTAATTTCAGTTTTCTCCTCAATCTATTTAGATTTGTATTAGGATTCTGTCTTTATTTGACTTTAACAATAATATCAGTACCTGGATTGATTGATTATGTTACAAAAAAAAATAAATATATATATATATATATATATATATATATATATATATATATATATATATATATATATATATATATATATATATATATATATATATATATATATATATATATATATATATATATATATATATATATATATATATATATATATATATATATATATTTATATATATCCAGACTGATGTCTGCGCCTCATTACAGACCTGTTATAAGGATGTAAAGAAAAGTTGGACCAACTTGGTTAAAACCTACAGAGCTGAGAGGAATATAAACAAACATTAAGGAAACAAAAACAATAAAAATACATGAGAGGAAATGATGCTGCTGTTGATGCATTTAGCCAGAATCTGCATCAAACCTTCAGTGGGTTCTGATCAGCTCACTGCGGCTCAGAGGGACATTCAGATCCAGAAGGAGCTAAAATCTGCAGGACTCTTGTGTCTTCTTGAGCAGATGGGTCTGAGTTTTCGGCAGGCTGGCTTCCAGCAGTCAGGCTCCTGTTCCTTCAATCGTCTGACCAGCCAGGAACCAGTCATCTGTGTTTAGAAAGTGCAAGGATCCTCTGCTACGGACCTTTAAAAGATGCAACCAGCTGTTATCTCTGGGGAGCAGACAGGCTTGGTTTGGACTGATACTCCAGCTGTAAGTTTAGGCCTCTCCTTTAGGACCCCACCCCGACCCAAAGACCAGAGGGGGCCTGTCACTGGGTGCTGTGAAGGATGGACCTGGTTGAATGGGGACAGTTACTACGCCTCCCAGTGACGGTTACTATAGTGATCGCAGTCCTTCCTCCTCATGAGCAGGCGATTCTGTCTCACCAGGGGTCCAAAAACGATATTGATATTGATAATATTATTTTTTATCTAGATTTTAAACTACATATTTCATAATATAAATGCATCATCCACAAAAAAACAAACCTATTTGAAGACCTATTTCTATTACTTCAAATAATATTAATCCTTCAAAGCGCACTCAGTGAAATACTTTGAAAATCCACATTTCAAGCCAATAGTGTTATTGGAATCCAGGACAAGAACTTATTACCTTTGTAACATTAAAATATATGGATATTGTGATGACAAAAATGAATGTCATTGTAATAACAAGAAACGCCAACATGCCCGATTAAAATAAGAAAAATAACAAAAGTGCTTCTATAAGAAATCTGTGGAAAACACTCTGAAAGGGAAAGAAACCTTTTTTGTTTTTTTGGTACAACATAACCTTAGAGTTATTAATGCTGATACTTGAACTTGTATTTTCAGTTTATACACCTAAATATAATTAACTAATTAACTAGGCTTATTAACTTTACTTTTTAACTTTTCAATTCGCTGTTTACCTTGTTTTCTTGACTTGTTAACTTTTTTCAAACTTAATTAACAATAGGTAATACATCATTCAAGGGCTCATCTAATTGGTCAAATGCCAAAATAAGTTGTACAGCCATATAGCAGTATCTTTGTTGAATGGCTGGATATAGATCTTGTGCTTCTAGACCTCACTGCGGAATGTAGGGACTCCATTAGTAAGGGGTATGCAAGTGATTAAAAACTGTAAGTTGCTCTATAAAGGGAGCAAAAAGGGCATCTAACTTCCTTTAGAAAACATTTTGTTTTATTTAAAATTCAAATAGAAATGAAATTTAGATTCTTTAAAAATCTGATCAAACGTCTTAGATAATTATCAAAAAATAAAGTCCTTTTTAACCCTGTAATGCCAAATGTATCATATTTGATACATACGGTTTCTGAAAGGTTTTGCATCTGACACCTTTTGCATAATTTAATGGTAAAAACTTTGCTCAAAATCCTATTGTACACAATCAGATATACCTGATAACAGCCAGTAGAAGACTACACAAAAAATAATCTTGACTTATTGCATAGCAATAAATTATTAATATTTTTTCTTTTTATATATTTTGTTAAAAGGCCAAATAAGGACTTCAAACCAAAAAAAAGTAATTTTCTGTTTTGTTTTATTCTTAAAAGGGTTAGGCACCATTAGCGGCTCTAATAAGTTGTATCTACATGGACTGAGGGCTAAAAAGGCCCTTTAGATCCCTTCCTGGTAGAAACTGAAAAGCCTCAGCCAAACAGTCAGGATTTACAGGATTAATCTACAGAAGGAATGAATGTAAACTTTCATTAAATGCAGATGATTTATTGATTTTTATACCAGACTGATAATATTCAGCAAAATTTGAAGCTAAAAACTCCTTAGTAAAGTTAAATAATTTAACTCATTTTATTACCAGGGTAGGGAGAGTTCAGTAACGAGGTTTAAAGTTGGGATCTGCTGCCCCTCTCTGGTTGAAAGGAATAATGCGATCTAGATGTTTCAGCTTTGGAGATAAACTGAACTCTTCAGTCATTTATGATAAAGAAGAAGCCTCTCATGTTAAAATACTCAGTTCTGTTAAATAATGAGGAAATTTATCAGGGGGAAAAGACTCAAGGTAAGTCCTGAGGTGGGTAGTAATTAGTTACATTTATTTAAGTAACCCATTGATCCATTTTCCATCACGCTTTCCTTCTGAGGTCATGAGGGGTTCTGGTGCCTCTATCCAGTTGTCTATGGGGTCCATCGCAGGGCAACACAGAGACAAACAATCACTCACACCGAAGGAGAATTAGAGAAGCCAATTAACCTAACATTCATGTTTTTGGACTGTGGGAGGAAGCTGGAGTACCCGGAGAGAACCCACACATGCTCAGGGAGAACATGCACTCTGGAATAAATCTAAATCTAGTGTGGTGGATGATCCTCCCACCATCACATCGTGTTAGTATTTTCTTTTCTTGCTTTATATTATATTACAATTTGTGTTTAAGTTGGTTATTTTAGACAGGTATTTTCTAATGGGTGCACACTTTAGTTAATGTCTGTCTGAACGGTTTATTTACACTTGTTGTTTTGTTTGAGGTGCTGCTGATGCAAACCAGCTGGAGAAGGAAACCTGGAGCGTACCATTTTTGAAAGACTGACGGGGGAGATTTGTTTCAAGAAGTTTTCAATGAGTTTGTCACTGAAATATTCACTTATAGTTTCTTCTAAGTAGTTTTTCTTTATTTGTTTCATAGAAATTTTGTTAATTTTGTATTTATTGGTTCTTTTGTTATGTTGTGCCTCCCTCATTTTGTCAACTTGGGTTACTCCATCCCTTTTTAAGCAGTTTGTTTGAGTTGGATCCTCAGTTAAGTTGGGCCCAGATTCATCTTATTTTGTATTTACGTTATTTTGTATTGCTTTTGAGCCTTTCTTAACCATTTTTACACAATTAAATTAAAGCACTTTTTAAAATTTTGAATCGTTTTGTCCTTATTTAAGTTTGGTCCCTCACATCTAGATTAATCATTATTTCTTAAAATAAGGCAATTTTTCTTGGATTGAGGAGGAAAAATATCCACTTTACCTATGGAACAAGACAAATTACATTTAAAATAAGAAAACACAATCGCATTGTCTTATTTCAAGTGCATTTTATCTAAATATCTTATTTTATTATTCATTCCATTGGCAAACTATCTCACTTACCTACTCTAATTAAGGGTAAATGCACGTAATTTGAAAACTTTTGACTTATTTCTAGATTGTTTTTCCAGTGAACTCCATGCAGAAAGACCCTGGGCCGAACCCAGACTCTTCCTCCTGCGAGGCAGCAGTGCTACCCACTGCGTAAATGTGTAGCCCTACTTGATGAACAATTTTAGGTTTAGGTTTACTGAGCCATATTTCTTTTGTGTACTTAAGTAATATTCTTGTACAGTATTGCTACTCCTAGACTGGAAAAAATCTAAATGTTTTTAAGTCATTTTATCTCAAAAAAGTGCCTTTGTGCTAGCCTCGTGAGACCATCCTGATCTCGCGAGCTTTCAAGGTTTCACTCGCAGATCAGTCTGGAGACTCTCCGTTAAAGAAAATTTGGAGCCGTTCACCAAACAAACGTCCAATCAGCGTTGGCTTTGAGGCGGGTTGAGGTGTGACGCAACGAGAAGCGCGACAGTTCAGTCTAAAGAACATGGCGGCTTCAGCCGATGAAACTAGCGTTAGCGTGGCTATCGAGCAAGTTTTATCGGAATTACAGAGTATTTCTTCACTGAAAGAAGAGCAAAACACTGCTCTGGAGGCTTTTCTCAGAGGAAAAGATGTTTTTGCTCTTCTCCCGACTGGTTTCGGCAAGAGTAGCCTGGCTTGTGGTTGTGTTTTCGTCGTCGCTCTGTTAGTACGTCATATGCTTCGTAGATCTGATTGGTTTATTTGGCCCGTCTATCACCAACATAGGCCAATCAGCTAACCAGTATTTTCACCCCTTCCCAAAATTACTTCAACGGAAGGTTTCCAGATGGATATGCGGAGCAAATCCATCTGGCGGAGTCAGGTTACCTTTGTTCTTGGATTAAGGAGGTAAAAAAGACCTTTTGTCAGTAGAACAAGACAATTTGCATTTAAAATAAGAAAACACAACTGCATTGTCTAATTTCAAGTTCATTTTATCTAAATATCTTATTTTAAGAGTAAAAATACTCATTAAATTGGCAAATTATCTTATTTACCTACTGAAATTAAGGGTAAATACACTTAATTTTTAAAAATTTTACTTATTTCTAGATTGTTTTTCCAGTGAACTTGATTTTAATCTCTGTCTACTGTCCTCTGTTATTTTAACTATTCCAAATTCATGTAAAGATACAGTAAACTTTGAATATTAACAGTGGTTAACAGTTTGTTACCCTGTCCTAACATTTATATAGTTCTCATTTTAAAGATTAATGTTGATAAAAAAGGTGAAAGTATTTCTTCTGCACAAATTTGTTCTTTTATATTCATATTTGCATTCTTCAGGGATTTGAGTCCTTAAAATGTCAGGACTTGATCATAAAGTCAGTTTAAAGTCATCATTTATAAACATTCAATCTGATATTATCCAATTGTTACTCATTAATCAATAGATGTTTTATTGAATACTTTTTTACTTTTGTTAAAAAAAAATTTTTTTTCTAAGTTGGAGTAGTGCTTTTCTTACTTGAGTATCATTTTTGGGTACCCACCCGCCTCTTGTCCTGTGTGGAAAAGTAATTGCGCCCTGATTACTTTCTCAGCTTAGAGAGGTTTGGTCTCGTAAGAAATGAAACCAGAATTTGCAAACTGATTTTTATTTTCTTTCAGGTTATTTAAGTCTCAGTTTCACGGCTGTTTGATCAGAGAAATAAAAAAAAAAAAATAAACTAAAATGTTTTAAAGGAGCCAATATTTCCATCATGTCAAAGAAGAAAACAAATGTGCACTTTTGTTTTTTTACATTTCTTTATTATTTTCTGACATTTTCATTTAGAAACTATTTCCACACCAGATTGGTCTCCATGTTGGACAAACATTGGCTCAGTTCTCATCATTAACTCATCAGCGTCAGTCCGACTGATGTTCATTGTCCCTCAGCTCATTAGATCTAATAATTACAGAACATTTACCGTAGAAACTAAACCTGCTGAGGTCGTTGGTCTGGGGTTTATTTAGCGCCTTTCCTGTTTCCTCTTTGATTCTTTCTCGGCTCTGAGGGTTGAAGGCTGCATCTCTGACAGCTGGGAGGAGAAAAGCTGCGATGATGAGAAGATCCAAACTATCAGGACAGTCGATCTTCTGTGAAACAACCACTAGGAGGAGCCAAAGATCAGATTTCCTTTCAGGACTAAAGGCAGTCAGAAAGTCTGCAGAGGAAACTCCAAAAACATCCGGATTTCAGTCCACCTTCTTTGGTTTACGGTTTTTCCACACGACGACGACAGTGAAGGCTCCTGTGGAGCAGAAACATCTCATTAGTATTCATTCATTAGTAATTATTCATTAGTATTCACCTAAAGCATCTGACAGGGACGGAGCAAAGGTTATTGATACCCTGCAGATGACATCCACCTCGATTGAATACAGAAATGTGAATAAGAAATAAAACAAACATTTGACCTGTTGGTTATTTATCAATAAGTTAAAGAAACTTAAAACAGAAGCTGATTTTTTCCATCAGCTTTTAATTGGAGATTTTAGATGCAGGCCGATATATTACGAATTATATCGGACCGATTTCCACTAGAGATGCACGATATTGGGATTTTGGCCGATATCCGATATTTTAAAACTCATGTAGCCGATAACCGATATCGATACCGATGTTAAAGCTGGACAAAAATAAGTAGTCGTTGAAAATAGCAGTTTTGTTATCCATTTCTGACACTTTGAAAAATAATATACTCAAATATATTTTCATATGCTGATATCAAATAGATTTTTTAAAACACGGTATCGATCTATTTTACTTTCAAAATCTCGTGAAATTTCATCGTTCTGTTACAAACTCTCGTGATATTTTGCAAATTCTTGTGAGATTTTGTTAGTAAAATAGATCGATACCGCGTCAATATATCAACATATAAAAATATGGCAACATTTGGTGAATTTTCGGGGGATTTCGTAGCATAACGATGACATATAGCAATATTTCATTAGTAAAAGAGATTGATATGGTGTTTTTAAATGGCAATATATCAGCATATGAAGATATTGGGATATTTTAATGGATCAATATTTTTTCCCTCGTCTTTAGAAGTTTTTAAGTCTGTAAAAAAGAAGTTTTTGAGGAAGAAGAAGAAGTAGTTTTTTTTTTTAGACTTCAGAAACTCAGAAGCTGATCAAATATCGGGTTAAATATCGGTGGGGTGGCCGATGTCCGATATTCAGTTTTAAGGCCGATACCGATAGGGGGCCGATTATATCGTGCATCCCTAATTTCCACTATCAATATCGGATCAGAATATTCCAACTGCTTAGTGTCTTCAATAAAAGGTTTTAATCAAGTGGAAATCCAAAAATAAAAAAAACAAACTAAAAGATGCTGCAATAATCTGGAATTAAATCCCAGAAAACTGTAGAAGTGCTGAAACCCTCAGCTGCTTCAAATGAGGAATAAAAAAAATAATTTTCAGAGTTGCCTTTGGCTGACCTATCAGAACATTATTAGCCAAGTTTCCAGACTAATCGTTCCATTTTCTTTAACATTTTACCTTTATTTTTTCCTCATTTCCTCTAATTTCTCTAACTCTGTTTTGCTTTTAAGCCGCTGCAATTTACGTTTTCCTTCAGATTTTCTTAAACTTGCTGTGATATAATGAATCCTCGTCTTCTACAGAGGTCTGCATGAAACTCAAGCAGGTTTTACTGGAATGGTTTGGACCCAGGAAGGCAGAACCGGATTGATATTTAGAGATAAAGAAAGGCTGATGAGCTTAAAGTTCAGGGAAACACATGTAAGAGAGGGAGGCTCTGACCTATGCACAGCAGCAGGACGACTGCAGCGATTCCAGGCAGGATGACCGAGTATTCCCGAGGGAGGAAATATCTGTGAAGGAGATGATCACTGTCCACAAAAGGCTGCAAGAAGACAAAAAAACTGCATCAGACAGGATTTACATTCATCAGGAATCAGAAGATCTGGGCTGATAGCGATATTAATATGACTAATATGGCCAATAATCGATATTTAAGGATATCAGACATATTTTCAAACCTGTTGGACACAATGAAACAAACAAACTGATGACATAAACTGAAAAGGAGAGAAATGAACCTAATCTATTAATATCTCTCAAGGTTACATGTTAACATAATCTAATAGCGATGTTAATGCCGGTATATCTTCTTATTAAAATATCAGAACTGACCTGAAATACATTTCATTACATATTCCTGACAATTTGTATTGAAAATCTTCCTGGATGGAAGAGAAACGTCTTCAAACTTGGAAACAAAGTCCAGTGGATTGGTTTTTTTTTACTTTTTTTTTTTGGAACATTTCATAAAAGTAAAAAGCTAAATATTACAGAAACCAGAAAGAGGCGGATTTAATACAACATTTACAGATTAAACTAATAAGTAATTCAGCAAATCTTAGTTCTAATTTCCATCAGCATAGTTCTGGTTCTAAAATAATGTCTAGAAGCCCGGTTGGACCGGATCTGATGGATCCAGACAGAACGTACCAGTACTATGACCCAGACGGTGTAATAGGAGAAAAGCAGGAGGCTGAACAGAACCAGACTCATCCCAACAACCTGATCCGCTCCTGTAGCCTGAAGACAAAAAAAAAAAAAGGTTTGTTTTTGTTTTCATTTTGCTTCATTATGAATTGAAGGCAGATGTTTCTGTGCTGGTCGGGTCTTAAATTGGAAACCTGGAAAAAACTGGAGCTGGAAAAAAGGGCAAAGACGCCATTAAGACAACAAAAGCCTGGAAACATGAAAGGACAGAGGAACAGATTTAACTTTTAGACGAAAGAATAAAGTGGGAAAAATTCAAACAATATAACCTGAACAATACTTCAAATTCCAGACATTTTCAGGCTGTTTCCACCCCAAACTAAGAGAGTCAGAGGAACCTTTCCCCATCTGGGAGTCACGGTGGTATAATCCTGACCTCATGTTTCTAAATCCAGAGTTTTGCTGGTTTACGCTGAAACTGTAAAATTTGGGAAAATATCACAACTGAAAACAGGCTAAAGAATAGGACATAAATGTCCTAAAGTTATATATAAAAATAAAGTAATCAATGAAGAAGAGAGTAAAAGCTATTTGAATCTATCTAAGCTATCAAGTTAACTTGAATTTAAAGCAGAATAATGAATAATAACTGAAACAGCTGAATGTTCTCTTCCTTAAAATGGTTTTATTTTAAAACATATTTTAGGGGATTTCAGACCAAACTCTGATCATTTATCTCAAGACTTTAGGGTTAATCAGCCAGCTTTGTAAAAAAAATATGATAAGATGTATTTCTTCTAAATAAACAGGGTGTCCATGCATTACCTTCTACCTTAGTCAGTTAAATAACCTGCTGCTGTCATTCAGCACATCTCTGATATTGCTGCTATTTTCAAATATCCATTACTGTAAAAATGTCCAAAGTTTTATATTGTTAAACACTTTACAGTACAGTATTTTAATGTTTATCTTTCAACTCTTCACTAGTATGTTATTCTGATACATTTCTTCTGAGGTCCATATTTGTGGGACCATTTTTCTTTTCTATATTCTTTTTGCTGATTTAAACAGCAGGTTTTCTTTTCTATTATAATTGTTTTTATATTTTTATGATAATTTAAAAGACTGAATAATCAAAGCAGCAGCTTCAAACTGAGACTAAACGCAGCAATAACATATATATATATATATATATAAATTGTGTAAACTCAGATTTCAGTTTAATGCTAGGCTACAAGCTAGCAGTCTAACTTCATCCGACATTAGCTTTGCTCTTCAGCTCCCATCTTCCGGTCAGGCTCCATTAAACGCTGATAATATAATTTTAAATTTGCCTTTTTACGATGAATGGTTTATTTGTTGTGTTTCTTACCATGTTTACAGCCACGTAGTGATTAATTATTTGTTGACGCTTCCTTCTTCTTCTCCTGAACTTTGCGGAAATGCGCTCCTCTCTCTATCGCCCCCTATCGGCCGTAGGATACAATTTCACTACTGTCTGCTAAAGATTCGACAATGTAACCTCTAGGAAAAACAAAAATAAATCCTATTTTGGCATTAGCTGTAAAAAAAAAAAATCTAAACCAGAATTAAAGTTTAAACTATTAAAATATCTGAAAAAATAAACTAAACTAAACTAGAATAAATAATAAACTAAAATAAAATACACATTAAAATTAATTGACATTAAATTTACATTAAAATCCATCTCTACTTTCTGTTGTCCTCAGTCTAATCTTCGACAGGTAAAAACAGAGCCAATATTTTTGTGTTAGTTCTACAAAACTCCACAAAGTAGAGCTTTCAAAAAAAAAAAAAAAATGATAAAAAAAAATGTATTTATGCCCATTTTATATCATTAAACTTTTTCCAAAACATTTTATTAAAAAAAATATAAAAAATTGGATACTGTTTACCAATCAGGTCACTTCTGAGGGCAACTTGCTGGATTGTATTTACTTACTTACGTCACAGAAAAGGTGTCGTATTTCTTCCACCATAATGCACCATTTGAAAAAGTTCAAAGGGTGTAAATACTTTTGCAAGTATCTGTTTATAAATAAACAAATTATTTACACAAATGTGGATGCAACAAATAAAATACACAAAATGAAGTGAATCATAGTAATTTTTACTTTATTTGACTGTGTACAAAAATTATAAACAGATAAACTCTTACAGTGTCAATTGTTTAAAAACTAAGAGTTAAAATAGTTAAAAAATCAGTTTCAATCAATACTAATAACAAAAAAGGATCATAAATGTACCCAAAATAACCTGCTCACATTTATATCTTATATATACTGTAGGTTCCTGCAGGAAAAGTTTGATTGAAAGTAAATCGTTAGAAAAACAAGGCTGAATCTGATTGGATTCAGTACATTCCCTTTACCGAACACATCCTTTAAGCTTAAAATACTAAATATAATCCCATCCTTTACTGTTATTTAAATCGTTATAAAATATTAAAACCCTTTCTCACCATAAAATACAATACTTTGATGAATAAAAACTATAGAAATATTTTACAGGTCATGCATGCCTGATGGACGTTTTCTCTGGAGTGAAATACAGCAGCGGCCATCTTGGTTTCAACGGCTGGAGTGTAATTCAGTCAGTGGTCATATTAAGCTTTCACATACGGTGATGATCAGACCAGCCTGCTGGAGTGTAAATGTTTCACCGTTTCAGGAACTGTTTCTGCAGCGACGAGCAAACGATTTGCACATAGTCATTTCTTTTTTAAATACTCAGAGCAGAATGTGACATAAAACTAAGTTTGCATCTTAATATCAGTAAGAAATGCATGACCTGCATGCATACGGAGTTCCAGAATTCCCAACAACATCCACAAACAAACACATCCTGAGAGGTTCCACTGTCTATTGTTAGTTTGAAACAACCCAAGCTTTGTCCTGGAGCAGCTGTGGGACTGACCCCAGAACAACGACACCCCTCCGACAGAACCACAGAAAGCCGTCTGTGCTCAAAGATGAGGACAAGTCTGGAAAACCCTTCAGATGAGAAACATTAAGTGTTCTCCACCAATTGGAGCTTAGCATAAAAATGGAAATGGAATTAAAGATTTAAATTCTGACTGAAGTCTGTTCTTTTGAGTGAGTCAGACTCAGCAGCAAACAGTGTGAAGACAGAAAGCAGGTGGAGCAGCAAAAACCAACGTTACAAACATTTCTGGTCCAGCAGAAATAACCTTGGTGCTAATTACTCACTAATTACTAAACGTTTAAAATGACTTTTTTATATCACAAAAGGTTTGGAAAGAACAGTTCTCTCTAAAGACACAAATATCCCCATTCACTTTTTTTTGTTTTTAAAGGACTCCCATGAACAGTAAGTGTTGGAAAATAAACCATTAATCCAACATACTTTCCCTGTGTATGGAATCATACTAGTGCCACAAAAATAAATAAAAATATGTAAAGGATTTTGAACATAAATGGTAGAGTACTTATAAAGCATAGATGAACCAAAAACAAATGATACCAAGTTTTCCAGTCCAGCAGAAAAAGCGTTAGCACTAATTGATAATAAATAAATCAGCTAAGCAATCCAAATTAGTTTACTACAATCACTACAGTAATTATAACTAATATCTTCAAAGAATTAAAGGTCTCTTTTGAGGTGTTGCTTTTCTAAGGCGCTCTTAATAATTTCTGTAAAAAAAAAAAAAAAAAAAAACAATAAACTAACAGAGTAAAAAGAAAACTGGTAGAGCTATAACGGGGTTAAAAAATAAAAATGCTATTGATGGATTTCAGAACAACTTACAAAAAAAAGGCATCATCTTTGAAATCAGACTTTATTGTAGAGTTTAAATAATTTTTTTATGCTTTGACTGATTCTTATTTCAGTGTAATACCTGGTTATTTATCTATTTGTTGTTATTAACATATTTTAGAACAAATGCACAAGCTAAAATATTTCCTCTAAGAAGTTATGAAATAAATATAGATACAAAAGTGAGAAAGTAACGCAAAACAAGAAAATTTCCATCCAACTAACTCCAAGTTTAAATTTAAAAAGCTCATACCCTTTTATATTGTTTTGGCACTACTATGATTCCATACTAAGAGAGAAATAAAAAATGTGAGCCGCATTGAGTCTTTTTTTTCTGTAATAATGAATGGAGGTGTTTGTTTTCTCACAGAAACAGATTAAAAACTGATCATATAAAATTCAGTATTATATTTTCAAGCATAACTGGACTAAGTTTATGATTGCAAAAGCAAAGGCTAAAAACAGTTAGCATCAATTGGCGTTGTTAATTGTGAAATGTTTAAGATATTAAAAAACAAAGTTATTTTCCTACAGGTGCTTTCAAAAGCAAACAGAGGCAAGATGCATTTTTAAAAGTACTATTTGTCAAAACTGTGACCAAAGTAATGCGCAAAAGCAAAACATGGAGGAAATTAGCAATTAGCAAGCCCGCTAACTCCTAAACACAGCAGTTAAATCAGTTAGTGGCTAAATTACTTAATGTTTAATGATAATAGCTAGACAAATACATACAGAAGTCAATAAAGTGTCTACATCACACTTTTGTGCATCACATGTTATATTATTAACTAGATCTGCCTATTATTAACTAGAAATGTATTAACTAGAAAAGTTAGCAACTAAAAAAGTTAGCAACTAGCAGCCCCACTCACAGCTAAATGCTAAAGGAAGGAACTTAGCAGAAACAGATCTTTATTGCTCTAGTTTAGCTGCTCTAAACGACAACGAGGAATAAAGGAACAGTGATTTTTTATGAATTATTTTAAAAATTATGAAGTAATAAATCAACAATAGTAAACATAACTAAAAAATAGCAACTAAAAGGGCAGTTGGAAGATGACAATCTTCGATTTTACTGCATTTTTATTGGCCTAAAACACTTTATAAATGCATGTAAAAGTGATATTCTTCCTTCCTGAGTGGTTTATGCAACTTTTATGTTCAGCCTGTTTCACAGAAAATCGTTTTAAATGTTTCTGGAAATATAAACTGAATCAAACTGTGCGTAGAAGTGCAATAAGACGAGCTAAATGTTAAATCACATTTAGCACTAAAACCATGTCACAGAATTTTATAGGTTGGTTTGGATTTAAACTAAATAAAAAAAGCAGGGCGAAAGAATCAGTGTTTAAATAAGAGACATTATTATCTCATCCAACACACTGGAAAAAATCGAAATCTAGATAAGTCATTTTTTCTTAAAATAAGTGCATTTGTTCTTGGATTGAGGAGGTAAAAGAGACATTTTGCCAATGGAACAAGACAATTTACACTTAAAATAAGAAAACACAATTGCATTGTTTTATTTCAAGTGCATATGATCTAAATATCATATTTTAAGATTAAAAATACTCATTCCATTGGCAAACTATCTCATTCACCTACTCAAATTAATGATAAATACAGTTAATTTAAGAAATGTTTACTTATTTCTAGAACGTTTATCCAGTGCATAGTTTGAATTAAATTGAGTAGGTAAATATGATGATTTGCCAATGAAATTAGTATATTTTCTCCTAAAATAAGATAATTAGATAATATGAACTTGAAATAAGAAAATGCAATTGTTTTTTCTCATTTTAAATGTAAATTGTCTTGTTCCATTGGCAAAGTGGCTCACTTTCGTCCTCAATTAGAGGAAAAATGCACTTATTTTAAGTAAAAATTACTAAATTAGATTTTCATTTTTTGCAGTGTGGCTGTTCCATGATGGTTTTCCAATCTCTGTGTTTTCAGTGGTTATTAGCAGGCCTCCTCAGAGGTTATGTGCAAAATATTTAAATACATACAGACAGTGATCAGACACCAATAAACTACAGGAACATTATTAGCCAAAGCTTATTTCTGCAGCCTGTTGTTAGTGACGAGGTATTCAGGTGAAACTAAATAATGTTTTGCGTGTTAGAAAACCAGACATATTGCGATAGCATCCTTTAAACTTTAAAGGGGTCTGCAACCTGCGACTCCAGAGCCACATATGGCTCTTTGGACCCTCTCCAGCAGCTCTTAATAGTGGCTAAAATGTATATAAAGAGCTAAATAATTTACTATAATATATACCAGTATGAATAGCTTTAGCGTTTTTTATAAGGTGGAAAAGAATGAGATTAAAAGAACCAGAAAAATGTTTTAAGAGACATTTTTCTATGAATTAGCTTGAAAATTATACGTTTTAACATAAAAAATATATGAATTGATTGTTTGAGATGGAAACAACTAATTTCCTATACAAGCTTTTAAAAAAAAAAAGGTTTTCTAGAAAAAGTCATGGTATATTTTGCGGCTCTAAACAACTTTTATTTGGTCGTACTCTGGGCAAAACGGCTCTTTGGATATGAAAGGTTGCAGACCCTTAAAGCCTTGAACAAGTGTGAACAGAGAGCCGCGTTATCCTGAGTAACATACTGCAGG